AGTCCCAGGTGGCCCCAACAGAAGGTGACCATGAATCTACAGATGATGAAAACAAAGCAGTGATACCGATCATTTTAGCTGGCTGCCGCAGCCTGAGGAGAATCTGCCAGCATGCTGGCTCCCTGATGGTTGAGAAGGGGGAGGTTGGGTGTGGTGGTTCCCACCTGTAATCCCAGCACTCTGGGAAGCTGAGGCAGGAGGATTTAGCCCAGCCTGGGCAACCTGGGGACTTAGCAAGACCCCATCTGAAAAGAAAAACTAAAGAAGGGTTGGGGATCCCTAGTATCTTCCCCCAGATAAAGGGCAGTGGGCCCAAGAGCTCTGCCACTCACACAGAATCTCTCTTTTAGATGTAGCCAGCAGAGAGCGTCTGGTCTAGCAGGAGACTCCTTTCCTGCCTCTTCCTTCATGTTCCCTCCTCATCTGTGCTGTTCCGTGCATTTCTCTGTCACCTCCTCCGAGAAGGCTTCCGGGCTGGACTTGGGTATATCTTCTGCGCTCGATCAGTTCCTCAGTCCTTTCCCAGTTTGCACTTGTTACCCTGGATTAAGAAATCACTTGACAGATCATGCCACTGCCCATGGAGTGGGATGAACTTTCACCACAGCCCACACAGCCGTGGGCCCTTCTCTGGCTCCCCTGGCCCACGCTCCAGGCTACCACTTTGAGTCCTTGCACCCCAGTGTCACTGTTAGACCTGGCATCCGCTTTTCCCTGAAACTGGAAACGGGTCTCTGACGGTGTCCTGTCTGTCCACCACTGGGCCCCAAGCTTGGCCTGCCTGAAGGAAAAATTCATCCTGACGTTTTTCTGAGCTTGGTCTCCATTCTCCAAACAGGGAAACGGAGCACTGAGAGGCTCATGACCTGCCCAGGGCCACTCCCCGGCAGAGGTGGGCTGGGTGCACACTGAGAGCCAGCACAGGACCCGTGCCCTCAGCTGTCTCCTGAAGAGGGGTTTTCTTCCTTTTTGGTTATGTGAAGCCCAGTGGCTTTGGGGAACAGCAACAGACCCTCCAGCCCTGGAGGTTGGGACCAACCCCAACCAGGCTGCAGCCCCCAGTCCAGCCCAGGATCTACTCACTGGTGGCAGGCAGCTTTTGGGGCCCTCACCACCTGATTTTCCAGCTCTTGAGACAAGGTGGCGCCCCAGGCTAAAGATGCCACCCAGACACTTCCATGGCCTGGCAAGGTGAAGACTCTCGGGTTGCTGTGGCATCAGAGTGATGGGGCAGCTATGCCGGCAGGGTCTCTGCCCAGCCACACGGTCCCCTGTGCCCCGCCCCACTGCGGTCACACAGCTCCCGGGGAGGTTCCGCCCAGCCGGCTCCAAGCCCCTGGGGTCCGTCCCATCCGGGAGGACCTTCAAAGGACTCGGCCATTCTTGAGCAAGTGCCAGGAGGGAATCTGCTCTTGGAGGCAATTTAGGCAGCCACATGGGTGGAAGGAATTTGCCACTCCTCTTAACAGCGACCCCGTCGAGATTTATACGGGGGCCACTGTCTGAAGGCCCGGTGGATGGACGCTGTGTGTGGAGGAAATGCCGAGCTCGGCGTCTCACTGGCTAATTGCCCTCAATGAGCCACAGCTGGCTGAGGGAGCCAGCAGGCCAGGGCCAGCCGGCTGCCTGCGCCACACTGCCCGGGGGTCCCCTTCTGGCCTAGCCTGCCCGGGCTTGCTACCATCATTGCCCAGGTCTGGTCAGGAAGCTGGGACAGCGAGGAACACGGCTATCATCAGACAGGCCCGGACATGGGGGGTGCTGGGGTTACCACAGTGGGTAGAATCCAACCTGACCTCCATTCCCAGGGGCATATAGCACTGTGAGGAGGCAGATACCAGCTACAGAAGTATTAGGTGCCCTGAAAGTACTCAGACAGGGATTTGATCTATTCTGGACACCTAGGACGAAGCATGTGCCATTGAGTTAATCAGAAAGCAGAGATGAGTTGTGTGATTGGGCAGGATAGGAGAGGGTTCCTGGAAGCCTGGACAGCATACGCAAAGGTCCTGTGGCAGGAGGAAACAAGATATTCAGGGAGGCCATGCAGTTGAGCCAAGAGCCGAGGGACAAGTTATAGAGCAGGGCAGGGAGGCAGCAAGGGGCAACTGTAACTTCAGAAAGATGATCCCACTTGTGGTTTAGGACAAGTGGCCCTTCATGTCATACCCATACAGCAGGCAGGACACCATCCCCAGCCTGCCATCCCTCTGGGCCTTGCCTCTGTCTTTGTCTCTAGCTTTCAGGAGTTCCAGTGCCCAACCCTGCTGTGTGGAGCATCCCAGAAGCCTGCACCAGGGGCCAGGCATCTTGGGAAGCAGGGGTGCAGAATCATGAACGTGGAAGGCTGGGTCAGGGGTAGCTGAGAGCAGCCGGGAGTCTCAACCTGAGGTAGTTGCCAGAGCCTGGCAGCCACCAGCAGCACCGCACCTGGCTTCTGTGTCACTAGGTGCCTTGAGACAGGGCATCCCTGTGTTAGCAATCATCTTCAGGTCGTCCTGGGTCAGAGGAGGCCAAGTGAGTAGATGACTGAAGGGTGAAGAGATACACACCTCAGCCTCCTCCCTGAGCCTCAGGGTACCCACACGCCTCCCCCTGGGCCACCCTGTGTCCCCATGAGCCAGGCTCCTGTTTGGCAGGTCTGGGTGTCACAGAGTGGAGCTTTGGGTGAGCAGGTGCCCGTGGCCCCAGGTGCCCGCTCCCCGTGGCTTTGGCTCTGACCTGCTTCTATGAGACACAAACAGGTCTGACAGGATCATTAGCAGCACAGACAGCTTTGTGCCTGATTTCCAGGAAATCCGAGGTCTTTGAGAGCAAGAAGGAGCCAGGTCTGCAGTGCGGGGAAGGAGGGAGCTTCCAGAATCCGCTCCTTGTGGTTTGGGCCATGAGCTCCAGGGTGACCTCCCAGCCACCTCCTCTGAGGAACTAACAGAGACCTGCAGGTGGCCAGGGGCCTGGGAGCACGCATGGCTTCTCCTAGACCACCACTCTTGGTGTGACCCAGCCGCAGGTCCTGTCCCTATGTGCCACTGTGTAGGGAGGCGGTGTGGGCTCAGGCTTCTCGGGGCAGACTCTGGTCCACCACTGACTATGGACAAGCCTCAGTTTCCTGGCAGTGCACACACAGACCTTGACCCATCAGCACGCCTCGCCTTCCCTGGACCTTTGCTGAAACCTCCACTGCTGTCATAACTCACCCACGGGGTCCCCCAGGCCCCATGGCTCCTCCCACACCCCGTAACCCTAAGGGCTCTTCATCCTGCCGCCCGATCACGTCTGCTTCTGCTTCTCTGTCTCTCTCACTCTCCTCAGCATTGGAGATTGAACCCAGGGCCTCTGCACTGAGCTGCATCTGCACTCATTTTTATTCTTTATTTTGAGACAGGGTCTCACTGAGTTGTCCTAGCTGGGCTCGAACTTGCAATCCACCTGTCTTGGCCTCTGAAAGTTCTGGGATTACAGGTGTCACAGTGCAGATTTTGAGTACACGGAGACAGTCTTTCATATGTTTACATCCAAGTCTCAAGGCCCCGGTTGCAAGAAGAACGGGATGAGACTGCTAATGGATTTCTTGTAGGGGTGACGGAGGGTTCTGGATAGCGTGATGGTTATAGAACCTTGGGTGTGTTCTAAAAGCCACTCTGAAATGGCAAGTGGTTACCAGCTGCCCACAGTGAATGTATTCATTATGCGCTGCAAACGCAGGCTAATAAAACAATAGGAATAAAATGGTGAGTGTTGTGGTTCGTGAGTTATCCCTCAATAAAAGGTTTGCAAGTATGTGAAAGAACCTCTCTTCCTCGTCCAGTGCAGCCTCCATGAACACCACTGCTGCCGAGTGGTCGGGGCTTATTCTCCCTGCTGTGTGGGTCCTCACCGCTCACACAGCGGTCCTGCAGCGATGGGCCTTGTGCCGGCTGTCATCGGGGATGTCACCAGTCTGTAAGGCCCCACAGCTGACCTTCGATGGGCCTTGGACGGTACTCCTGGTGGCACATGGCCAGGTGTGGAACTGTGCATGGACTTGAATAGATTTGCCAAATAGCGTCCCAGTGTGGGTGACCTGCCTCACACCACGCTCCAAGGGCTCTGGTGGCTCCACCTCCTTGCCGTGCATCTTTTTAATTTAGCCATTCAGAGGAATGGGTACCATATTCTATTTTTAATTTGCCTTTACTTATAACCGAAGAGGTCTGGCTTCCTATTGAAATGAACTTTTTGGTCATCTGCTTTACATCCCCAGCCCTTCCTTTTTATTTTGAGACAGCATCTTGCTAAGTCACTAGGTTGCCCAGGCTGGGCTTGAACCAGTGATCCTCCTGCCTCTGCCTCCCAGAGTGGTGGGATTACAGGTGTGCTCCACTGTGCCCCACTCCATCTTCCTATTATTTACCTGCAGGATTTATATTCTGGCTATCAGATCTTCACAAGGATCTATGTGTGGCCAGTATCTTCTCCCATCCTTTGGCTTGTCTTTCCTCATTTTTAATTGTATTTTTAGTTAGCAGAAGCTTTTAATTTTGATTCAGCCCAACTTATCCCCTTTTTATTTTATGTTTGGTCCCATATGTGTCCTACTTAAGAACTCTTTGCCTACCCTTGAACGTCTTTTGAATCCGTCCCACCACTTTTGCCCAGGCCCTGGCTGCCAGGCGCCTCCTGTTTCACCCCCCTCCCCCCACCTATGTCCTGCCGCACTTTCTGTCCCCTCCACTCATCAGCCTCCCTGCAGCCCACATGGCCCTCTTGCTATGGATGGACTGCTTCATCTTGTGCAGCCCCCGGGACTGGCAAGGCCCTGGCACACACTAGGTGCTCAATAAAAGCCACATAAATGGAGGTAATGTTCTGCAGCCCAGCTGGGGACCATTAAAACTGTCAATTAGTTCTAAACACCAGCTCATCAGGAGCAGTCTGAGCAGAGCCAGGGAACCAAAATGTCTTGGAAAAACCAATATGATAGGAATGTTTGCCGTCTCCCGGCCGGAGCACTCAGCATGCACGCTCAGACCTTGGCATGATTTATTCTTGCTTCACCCCAAACTGTGGGGCAGGGGGAGCCTCCCTGGTGCCCTGGGGCTGCAGGAGCCCTGCTGACTCCGAACACAGGGCAGACCCCTGTCTCCTAGTCTTTCTCTTCCCCGTGCGTGATGACGTAGCACAGGTTCCTGTAATCCAGGTTGCCGCACATGTCTGGTGGGAACGCTGCAAACATCTGTTTGACCTGGGGAGGGGATAAGGAGTCAGGGTGGACCAGCAGTGAGTGGGGGCCAGCGGGGGACCCCAAGTGCCCTGAAAACCACACTCACCTCCTCCTCGCTGAACCGGTCTGCCTGGGTCATGAGCTTCTCCTTGATGCTGCTCGAGGGGAGAAGCAGTCATGTCCAGGGGAAAGGCAGGGATGACAGGACCACCCCAGCCCCCGGCAACTCTCTGAGCCCCAGCTGCCTGTTCTATGAGCCAGGCTCTCCGCTCAGCCTCGGGTAGGGACCAGGTGGAATGTCCTTGAGACACCACTGTGACCTTGGGGCCACTGATTCCCATTGTGTGCCAATGATCCACCTTAGGGCCACTAAGGGGACACTCAGGCCCTGGAGCCACTTCGTCTTGCTCTTGGTACACTGTCTTTTCCAGCTTGTGGCTTTCTCTGATGTCTGTGTGGTGTTGCATAGATGTCAGGAAGCTCATCCTGGGTCAAGGCCACAGCTGGGGCCTCTTGGACCTCAGCTCTCCAGACCTGGAAATGAGTACTCAGGTCTTCCTTTACTTAGGGGGAAACTGAGGCTCAGGAGGTCTCAGGACTTGCCAAATGTCCCAGAGTGAGGCAGTGGCAGGGTGGGGCCTGTACCACTCGGCCTTTAGGAGAGCAGCTGGTCACAGTCACCAGAGGCACCTGGGACCACAGGAGCCACACTAGGGCTGTGTACAAGGGGATGGCGCCCCCAGAGACTGGGGCTCTCGCGGGGCTTAAGTGGGGGCTCAGTGGACAGGAACGGGAGCTGAGGGCTGAGTGGCCCCATGCACTCCAGTATCTGCTGGCGCCACTCAGGAGCGACACACATTTTCCATTATTTATGTTACCACGGGACAGTCACAGTTTCCAGCTCCCCAGGCTGGGGACTTTTCACAGACTGTTTCAACCAGAGCTTCCTCTGCGGCCTGTCTGGCCGGCAGCCGCATCATATGGGTCGTAGGCCCAGGGCGGCATCTTCCATTCCCACATAGGGCCCCCAGTGGTCCCCAGTCCTGTCCTCAAGCTGGGAGGAGACAGTAGAGAGGGTGTCCCAGCCCGGGCTCCCTAAGATAGAGGTGGAAACCACAGACCCCAAGGAGGTGAGGAGCAGAGGCTTCAGCCTGAGAAGCGCTTGCTGTGCTTCACAGTCCGGACATCTGACGGATCCTGCCCCACAGGAGGGGGTGCAGATGGGCAGCAGGATGCCCCATAACCTGCCATCCAGAAGCCCATGCCTAGTGGACAGCTCCCCTGTCCAGGGCTGTCCCTGCTCCCAAGGGAGAGGCTCCTGGCCCCAGCAGGCCCCCTGGAGCAGTGCCCACCTCCTCTTCCACACACAGGCTGCACGTGACCACCCAAGCTGAGCCAGCCACCTGCCCAGCCCTGCCTCTGTCTCCAAAGCCACTTAGGCTGTGACTGACAAGCAGCCCAGTCCTCACCACATCCAGGGTCCCTTGGGCACTGTCATCTGCCTTTTTCCTGGCCCACTCACCCTCTTCCATTCCAACATCCCTGGGCCCTCCTGGAAGCTACAGTTCCTCCTCCAGGCTGGACTCCAGGTTGCCTTATCCAGCCTTTCTGTGCTCGCCCATGCTCCCAGTGCAGCCCTGCCCACACAGCCCCGTCCATGTCCCTGCACTCCATCTCTCCCATCACACCCTCCAGCTTGCAGTCCACAGACGTCAAGCCCCAGCCTTTTGCATGCTCTGTTCCACATCTGTTCCTGCCCTGTACAACCTTAGTCCTCCTTCAAGTGCCACCTCTGTCCCCAGCCCATTCCCGCCATAGGGAATCCCTCCTTGAGTGACCCACACTTGCTGCCCAGGCTCAGGAGAGTTCCAGGTGGAAGGGGAGACCAGGCTGCCACCCACCCAGCCTGTGCTACCTTGGAGAGTGAAGCTTGGGGGACTCGGGGACTTACAAGTCAGCCTTGACGAACCCTTTCCCTTCAGTGTCAAACACCTTGAAGGCATGGAGAATGGTCTCCTCCGGGTCGGTGCCTACAGGGCAGGGAGGTTTCAGAGAAACAAATGACAGTAACAGCACACAAGGACCTGCACACATGGAATCATGAACAACCTGCACAACTGTATTTGGACACCCAACTTGCTATGTTCTTAACCTTCCTGACATTTGCTCCTATTTTATAGATGAAGAAACTGAGGCTCAGAGAGATTACAGTATTTGCCTTGCTGAGTTTTTGAGACAGATATGGCTATAGGATTGGTGAGTCTAGGGACAGCAACATTGTGCACAGGGGCTGTGAATGAAGGAAAAGTTGCTCTGTACTTGTGGGCTGAGGCTGGAGCAGGTGCAGCCCACTGGGGGGGTCTGCAGGGTTGTCCCACCCGGAAGTGGCAGTGGGTAGTGGGCTAGCACAGCCAGCCCAGGGCTGGTCATCACTTTCATGGCTTTGGGGAAAGTGGCACCAGAATAAATGCTTCTGAATCCCGCAGTGGGCTTGACCTGCACCTTCACTGTTCTGATGGGGAAACTGAGGCTCAGCCCGCGGTAGGGGCTCATCCAAGGCCTCCAGGTCACGTGAATGACAACCTGACAACCCTCACCTGGACCTCTTCCCCCTGTCACAGCTGGCCTTGGGCTCTCCACGGTTCCCAGTGTCAGGGGCACAGAGGTGGTGTTTGCTGCCCCTCATGCGACCAGCTGGATAATGCACCATGGCCGGATTTCAGCACACATCACTGAGTCAAACTGCAAACAGCCTCAGTGCTTTGCCAGGCTCCAGGGCTGCAGCTTTGCCACTGACCTGAAGGAGACCCGGAGCACCCTGGATGTTCCACACGATACCTCCAAATTATCACAGAGGAAACTGGGCTTGGGGGGGTCCATGACTTCCCTGAGCCCCACTAATACGAAAAGTGAGGATTTAACCCAACTCTGTAGACACACAGAGTGCCCTGCTCCTCCCACCATCTGAGCCTTTGCCAACCAGTGTCTGCCACTGTGTCTCCCATCAGACTGGATCAGGACCATTTCTATCTCTGCCATCAGACTGGATGGGGACCATCTCGGTCTCCCCCATTACACTGGAAGCCCATCCAAAACAAAGCAGGCAGTGTCCAAGTCACTCAGGCTCTGAGACTGCTCAGGCAGGACACAGGTAGCCTGTGCTGACTGTGCTGGCCCATGAGCTACTGGAGGGTGGATATGGGGCTTCCTCTGCAAGGATAGCAGGGAGCCTGTGCTTAGCCCAAAGGCTGAGCCCAGGGCCAGTTGGACCAAGGAAAGTAGAGTGGTCAGACAACCATGATGGGGGCTACTGTTTGTTGTATCTCTGCTCCTGAGGCCCCAGCCCCCCAGATTTTAGCAACTAACTGAAAACTCTCCGTGTCTTTGAAGAGACCTCACAGCTGGGGCTGGTTTGTGATGGGCGCCTGAGCCCCCAGTGGACTCGGCCTGACTGGCAGCCCCTCACCTCACTGGCCACTCCCCGTGCGGGGGCTGGGAAGACCAGGCACTCGGTCCCCGGAGAGGGCCTCTGCTCCAGGACTGTGGACCTCATAAAACAGGCTGCAGAGTAGCTGCTTCCCGTCACTGGGAGTCTCACGACAAAGTCTCCTCGTCCTAATTAGTGGGATGAGGCAGTACCCGCCCCAGCCCCTGCCCTCCCAGCTGCTGGCCTGTCACGCAGACCTGGCCACATTCACATGAAAGGCCAGGGGCCCCTGCAGAGATGAGAAAAAGCTGCAGCCCTTCAGGCCCCCACCAGGCCCTGGGTCACTGCTCCCACTCAGCCATGGGCAGGAGCCTGCACCGCACCCAGCCGTGGCCATCCAGAGCTAGAAGAGCTCTCCCCTTCTCCAGGGAACCTTGGAGCTCAGGTCTCAGCTCTTCCAGGCTCAGGTTGCAGCCTCTCAGTACCTTGCTTCCCTGGCTCTAAAATGGGCCCAGAAGCTGGGCATGGTGGCACACATTTGTAATCCCAGCACTTTGGGAGGCCGAGGCAGGACCATCACAAGTTCAAGCCCTTTCTGGGTAATTTAGTGAGACCCTGTCTCAAAACTTAAATGAAAAAAGGGCTGGGAATGCAGCTCTGTGCAAAGGCCCTGGATTTGATTTTCGGTACTGAAAAAAAAAATGTGGAGGGTAAACCACCTGCATCTCCCAGAAAGTGCTTGCCCTGATCCAGGGCCCTGGGCTTCAGAGTTCTGGGAGGTGGACACAGGCCTGGGAACAATCCCTAACAGCTCCCGTGGGCCCCCAGGCACTCCTGGGTCAGTAGTGCAGTCAAGTTCAAAGCCTGCCCAAGAGAGGGCACCTAGTCTCCCAGCCCCAGCATAATGCCTCCGACCCCCAGGCAGATCTTGGGCCTCCTTCAGACTCTGGATCTGCCAGACATGGGGTGCGGAGGCTGCCCTACTGTACTCTGCCACAAGAGTACTGATTTTCTCTGGTATTAATAAGACTCGCCCCACAGTGGGCTGATAGGTGACCCTCCCAAAAGACACTTCCGCCAGAACCTGTGTCACCTAAATTGGGAATAGGAACTTAGTAGATGCAAGTCAAAGATCCTGAGATGACAAGATCATTCTGGAATCTGTAGACGGGCCCTTAAATCCAGTGACAAGTGTCCTTATCGGAGACAGAGAGCCAGGATTAGGCAGAGGGTGAGGGGGCCATGTGACCGAGTGGTGGACATGGAAGTCAGGCAGCCACCAGAGGCCGGGACACAAAGAGCGGATTCTTCCCTAGGACCTCAGAACCTGGCCCAGTTAGATTTCAGACTTCTAGACAGCAGAACTGTGAGAATACAGTTCTGCTCTCTGGCACCACCATATTTGTAGTCATTTGTCACAACAGCTTTTGGGCAAATCCATTTTGCAGACTAAAAATGGAGGTGCGGAGATCAGACCAGTCTACCCAAGGGGGTCAATGAGAGACCAGGTCTTGACACCAGACCTGGCAAAGGCAGGGAGGGCATCAGACAGCAGCAGGTGACAGTGGTGGCAAAAGTGTCTACCTGTGGAGGCCATCACAGCCCAAGCAAGCCTTTCCTTCCAGCCACAGAACTCTCAAGCTCTGAGGACGATATCAGAGGGGACCTCCAAGGTCCAGCAAAGAGAGGGCACAGGGAAAAGAGGCCTTGGGGGCTGGGATGTAGCTTAGCGGCATAGTGTGCCTGCAGGGCAAGCCTGAGGTGGTGAGCTCAGTTCATGGAAGCAAAAAATAAAAATTTAAAAAAGTTTAAAAAGTAGAAAGAGGCCCTAATTCTTTGTCAGCAGATGGCAGCTGTTAGAGCCTCCGTGCAGGCTCAGACTCCAGGGGGGCCACTTATTTGCTGGGGCCGTGGGGCAGGTATCACAACCTCGCTGAGCCTCCTTTGAGTATTTCTGAAAAGCAGCTTCCTGACCCTGATCCTTTCTTGGGGGCTGCAGTGACTGTGCCACAGGATGAGGTGAGCAACCTGTCCAGGGCTGGGGTTGTCACTGTCACCCCTCCCCCAACAACACCCCTGTGCCCGCCTCTCATTGGCAGGGCATAGAAGCACAGGAGAGGGGAGGAGGGAGGAGGAAAGGTGGGGTCACAGTCCTCAGGGAGAGCAAAGGACTCAACAGCAGTTGGAAAATGAAGCAGGGCCTTGGGATGCTGTGTGCACCCAGAAGCTGGCATCTGGGACAGCACTGTGTTCCCACCACCCAAGTCTATGTACGAGTGTTAGGGCTGGCAGGATGTAGGGGACATGGCCACACTTGGCCACAGGGTCCTGGCACTAGAGACACTCACCCTTGAGCTTCTCCCCAAACATGGTCAGGAAGACGGTGAAGTTGATGGGCCCGGGAGCCTCCTTCACCATGGCCTCCAGCTCCTCGTTCTTGACGTTGATTCGGCCTGGGGAAGGCAGCAAAGTGGCAGAGGGGACCCAGGAACAAGAAGGGGTGCAAGGGACATCACAAGAGGCAGCTGAGGAGAGTCCCCCAGTCTCCCAGCTCTCCTGCCCCACGTGCTGCTCCTGAAGCCTTGGTCCCGTGGGAGCCCTGCAGACACCACTGGCCTGAAGTCTACTTGGAGCTGCCCCCAACCTCAACCCTGTCGCCACCTCTACCTCATCTTTTCTGGAAAGGAGACCGAGTGGGTCCTGAGCTCCACTCCGTCCCAGCTCCCTTTTGCAGACTGGGAAGTTGAAGCCCAAAGAAACTGAGGTGGGGGTACACAGCTTCCTGGGGCTCGTGCACCGCTGGAGGTGGGGACTCTGGATTCCTCAGGGTCCTGTGGACACTCTGACTCCTGGGGACTCAGGTCCAGCCAGAGATGACCTGGTGATGTCCCTTCTCCCATGCAACTCCACTGGCACCTCAAGTTTCTGCCCTGGCAGTTGACCCTCTTGACCCCTCAGCACCCCCAGGCCTTTGCCCAGGCTGTCCCTGCCCTTGGAGTGTCCTCACTGCCCAGGCCTTGCTCTCATACCTGGGAACCTCCCCACCTCCCAGGCGGCCCCCTCCTCTGCACCCCTTGGCTCACGACCCCTCCCTCCCTGCACGCCCCCCTCCCCAATTGCCTGGTGGCCTGGGCTTTGTCCCATCCCAATCTCCATTCTTCCCCAGCTGCTGGGCACCCACCCAGTGCAGCGAAGGTGTCTCTCAGGTCCTCCTTGTCTATGAAGCCGTCCCGGTTCTGGTCCATAATGGTGAAGGCCTGGCGGAGACATCGGCACTGAGTGGCCATCCCCGGCCCAGCCTGGTCGCCCTGCCACCGCCCCCCTGGGGCTGTCCCCCTGCCCACTGCTGCCTTGGTGACCTCCGCACAGGCCCCTTCAACCACCCAACTTAGTAGGCACAGCTGGCTGCCAGCAGCCCTCATGTACAGAGTGGGAAACTGAGGCTCAGAGAGAGGAAGGCATTGGCCAAGGTCACCCCAAAGGCACAGACTCAGGTACAGAGAGGAATGAGCTGCCCACAGGCTGCAGCTCACATCTTCAGGCTCGGAAGCAAGGCCTGGTCCCCTGAGGGCGCCCTGTTCCTGGGTTTCTTCTCCTTGTCCCTGAGGTGCTTTAATCTCCCCATGGCCCCAGTGACAGTGACTGACCTCCTTAAACTCTTGGATCTGTGACTGATCGAACATGGAGAAGACGTTGGAGCTGGCACCACCTTCCACTCTCTTCCGGGCTCTCCGGGGCGCCTGTGAGGAAGCAGGGGCCTTGTGTGGTGGCACAGAGGGGGCACTTGCTCTGCCCTCCATCCCCTCCCCAGCCATCCTCCGCTACAGCTGTGGTCTCTCCTCATCCACCTGCAAAAGCTTCCTGATGTTCTCAGGATCGTGTCTGATGTCTTTTTCTGGTGAAATCTGTCCCTCCCTGCAGAGGGACAGATCCTCTGCCTTTCGCCTGGGTCCCCTCCTCACCCCAACCCTGCTTTGAGCTACCTTCCCCCCAGCTTCCTGCACCCCACACTCAGAAAGCCTTTCCAGCCTTCCATCTGGAAGAGTCTTCCATATTTCAGCTCCTGTGCCCAGTCTGAGAAGCCTTTCTTGGTGCCCCAGCCATGCATTCCCTCTGTTCTGCCACAGGGACTGTCACCTGTGTGCATGCACCACACTGTTCTGCCATTGTTCCCGACTAAGTGGAGACCCCAACGGTGAGGCCCATTCTGTCCCACGTGTGACCTCTCCACCCGACCCCGCCACTCCGTGCACTTGGCCAAGAGTGGGGATCAGGCCATTTTGGGGAACAGCTGCACAGAGCCCAGGTCCCATCTACATGGCAGGTAGAGCAGCTGCCCCCTGTGTGGAGCCATCTCCGTGTCTGGCTGGCTTCTTGCCACCTTTGCAGGATGGCATGGTGCCCAAGGGCTGCCACTAGACCCTCACTGAAAGTTCTAAGTCCCCAGAACCCCCAGAAGGGCCTCTCCTTCAGCAGCCATCACTGCAGACCCCAGTCCTGGGGGTTCCCTGAATTGGGGTCAATGAGAAAAGAAAGCTACCCCAGTGTCCCCCAGTGAGAGGTGAGGCACAGCTCCCACTGATTGCTCAGCCAGCACCATCCTCTGCCAAGCCCTCGTCTGGACCCTCATCTCGAGCTCCCCCTGCACCCTCCTTACCCCAGTGCCTGTGTGGTCTCCCCTGCCCCTACCCCACCCTCACCCCACTTCCCTCCGGCTCCTGGGCCCTCATCAGAGCAGCAGCACCCGGCTGACTTATAATTAGCTTTTACTGGGTGCTTTGTCTCCGCTAATCCTTTGAAAGGGGGCTGGCAGGGCGGCTGGGACGTTAGGGTACTGTAAAACCTCTGTAATATTTATAAATCCCTTCAGACAGCGTAAAGAAAAGAACTTCCCTGCAGAGTTCAGCTCGCATAATTACATATACATTTCCCTCTGATTAATAAAAAATGATCACTTCCGTCTGGGGGATATTCTGCCTTTCGTGGCTCGGATCTAGCCTCAGTCTGGGTCCCCTTTCCCCCTTTCTCCCCCACTCCCTCCACCCTCACCCCACCCCATTCTTTCGGATCCACCTCCCTTGGCACAGTCCCCCCTACTCTGGTCCAGAGCGCTTTGAGGGAGGGGCTCTGAGGCCTGGGCCCTCCCTGGCTGTCTTGCAAATTCCTCTCTATAATGGACCCCTGAAAAATAAGACCCCCTGCAAGAAGCATCCTAGGAAAGGTGTGGGTGATGAGACCTGAATTCTTATCCTGACTTTGCTGCTCACAGCCTGTGTGAGCAACAAATGCACTTCTTTCTCTGAGCCTCAGTTTCCCCACTGATAAACCGAGAGAAAGCCCACCTTAAAGGATCAGGACATTTATTGAGTATCTGCTTCCTGTGCCCGATTCCTGGGACCCAGAGCTGAATTGAAATCTGCTCTTGTCCCCAAATAACTGTCCTTGTCACTAAAGCTGGAAATAGGTGACCATAGAGGATGGCAGAGGAGATACAGGTGCCAAGTCTGAGTCAGGCCAAGAGGGACTCATGGGGGTGGGAAGTAAGACACAGGCATCAAAGAATGGTAAGATCAAGAGCCTGCAGGGGATGCCAGGGGCTAGGGACAGGGACAGGGACAATGGCACGTGAGCCCCACAGGGCACAAGAGGCTGGGTGAGCATGCTGTCTAGAACACTGACCCCAAATCCTAGTGGGAGCCAGGTCTGCTCAGTTCTACCAGGAAGCCCCCAAGCCTGGCTCCCCAACTCCCTCCACCTCCCAATCCTCATTCCCGGCCACTTGGGTTCCAGCAGCTCCCAGGAAAGCAGAGATCCCCAGCACAAACCACATGGATGAACTGGCTACCCTTCAAAATCAAATAGCTGGACGGAGCAGAGCATCAGCCTAACATCAAGACCAAAGCAGAACATCAGGTCAAAGTCAAGGTGAGCTCGGGAAGTTAGAATCACACAGAAGTCATACAGGATGAGATCAGAGCAAGGAATGAGCTCAACATTGGGGCTGGAACTGCGGAGATGACTACAAGGTAGGAGGGAGGGGGCTGCAGCCCCAAAGCTGTGGACCTGAGCCCCCAGGAACGGCAGGGGTGCAGGGAGGGTGGCCCCAGCCTACCATGGTCTGGAGTGCTTCCTGGAGCTGCAGCAGAGCTGGGGCCACTGGGCAGTAGCTTCTTAAATAGTGCTCCTCAGGGCCCGGCACTGCTCCAGATCCAGACAACAATTTGGAAGGTGACCAAGGACAGGATGGACACCTCCCTGCTGGGCATCTCCTCTGGGCCGTGGGGAGTGGGTAGACTTGTGGGATCACTAAGCAAAATCCATTGATCTAGAGACTGCCTAAGCCCAAGGATCTCTGTGAGCACTGGGCCAACTGTTTGCTCTCCAGCCAGGGGACCAGCACTCAGGAAGGGGCCGGAGGCCAAGGGCCTGAAGTAAGTCAAGACCTAAACCGGCTAGGAAGACTTGGCCTTGGGCCGTGGAGGGAGGGCCACCCACGCCAGTTGGGCACACAAGGCCAAACTTGACCTGACTCCTTGATCTGGGGAGTTCCGGATAGGACACTGACCAACCTCTAGGAGTTCCGGTCCTCTTGTGGGACGGTGGGGATGGACAGGTGACCCCTGCCCAGTCTACTCATAGACTCACAGAGATAGTTTCTGTCCCAGTCTGGCTTCAACCAATGTGGCTGTAGTTGTCCTTCAGTACCAGAAGGAAGCCCGGGGACACTCAAGACTCCAGGGTGCACAGACCTGATGCAAATGGCGTTGTGCTTGCACAGACCTGAGCACTGCTCCTATGGTCTACACCGTCGTACCTGATACCATGGAACAGCTGCTGGGCTGCTGTGCAGAGGATGACGAGGAAAAGCTGCTCCTGTTCAGTGCAGGTGCAATCATTTTTCCTAGCACTTCCTATCCACTGCTAGTTTACTTCTTGGCTGCAGAACCCATGGCTCAGGAGGCCATCAGGACCCTGTGGTCGGCAGGGTCCCTGTTGTCCACTCCTCCCCAGGGAACCATTCAGGGCTCAAAAATGCTCCAGGTGTTGAGAGAGTAAAGAAACAAGAAAAGTGAGAGAAAATTGAAAATTTGGCCTCATTCTGCCCAGCCCCCTCCCTGCAAGCCCACCCTGGTTGGGGCTCCAGCCAAGATGTCTCTCCCACATGTGCCAGGCAGAGCCCCCACCTGACCCTCGCAAGCTCCTCCAGGTCCAAGGAAGCCCTGGGGGCTCCACTGTGGCCTCCAAGGCCACCCCCATCCATCTGGTCATGTTGGTTGCTGCGTGGGAACAGCACATCTGGTCAGCTGCCAGGGCCGGCAGGGCTGGGCTCAGGCTGTGAGCCACAGGTCCCTGGGAGCTGGAGAGCTTAACTGTCCCCGGAGGTGGCCTCAGGCCCCAGTACGGCTGATCCCCTCCCTTGGGGAGAGGCCATTGGACATGAGTTGAAAAAGGTCCAGTCTGTGTTCTAAAATACGTCTCCTCCCAGTCAGCCTTTACTTCATTTTCCAGGTGGGGAAACTGGAGCACACAGGGATTAGCTCATTCCCTCAAGGCTGGTAAGAGTCAATACCAGGATGAGAGGTGTTCTCTTTAATAGCTCCATTAGGAAATTTCTAGAAGCTTCCAGAAGGTTCTGCTGACATCTCTCCCAGACATCTGACTGTAGATGTCCCTGCCCAGCCCCTCTGGCCTCACTGAGCACTGGAATAAAGTGATCTAGGCTCTAGAAGAGTGCATCTTGACCCATTCCTCTCCTGGTATCTCCCCAGGGGGACCAACCACATACTCTATGGGTGATCAAGCAGCAGAAGTGAAAATGTAGCTGGCTCTGGGATCAGGAACCTTTGATTCCAGACCCAGCCAGCCTTGGCCTCCTGCAGGAGATGGGCTGTGTGACCACGGCAGGTTCCTATCCCTTTCTGGACCTGTGCAGGGGGACAGGAGGACACTGAGGCCAGGAGAGGGCTGGAGTCTTTCTTATCTAGTCCCGAAGCCTGGACGTGGGCCTCCTGGCTCTGGCTTTAACTCCTGATCCCAGTGGCCTCTGGCTTCCTGCTTCCCCAGGCCCTCTGCGTGCCAGACCTAAGCTCTTTCCTCTGGGGATCACAGCCGGGACCTCGGGGTGGCTCCAGAAAGCCCAGGACAGTGCTGAGCAAACAGAGAGCCTGAGCCTGGCCAGCAAGGTCCAGTGCCATGGAGAGTGACAGTGGGACAGGTAGGAATCACAACAGGGTTTACAAGAAAGAGCCCATCAACTTGGATGGACAAACGCTCTTTTACCGACTTCTGTGGCCCCGCACCAGTGGCTCTGAACGGCATGGCTTCTGAAGAATCTATGCGGCATGAACCCTGGGCTTGGGACATTTCAGTAACCTAGGCAAATAGCACCCACTGGGTTTGTCCATCCCTTAACTGTTTACGGAGCTCTCACTAAGTGTGGGGCACTGGAGATGGCCGTGAAGGGACTCAGAGAGAGACTGCCGCTGCCTTTGAGGGGGAACACTGTGGGCCAGCCTCCAACTGACTGGCCTAGATGAACACATGTCCCTGTTCTGGAGAGTAGATCGAGCAGCTGTAGGAGTGGCCACAGAGAGTCCACCAATCCCAACAGGTGTGAAGTCACGCAGCGCGAGTGACTAGGCGCATAGTCTGTCTGTACTTGATTTTGGGTCACTTGGAGGGATTAGGTCCTGTTCCCTCCTAGCCATCAAACCCACAGCTATTTTTACAGCAGGGTGCTGTGGCCACAGGCCCTTTGAACAGGATGCCTTTTTCGTGTTTCTGCGGTGTGATGGGTTCTCAATCTTCTGGACCACAGCTGTAAAACCCGACAAGAGGCATTTGGGGAGACATTCTTCTTGGTTTTAAAGGTTTCCTTGTCTTTTCTAAGTGGCTCCAAATTAGAGGAAGGCTCCAGACAGGGGCAGGGACTGGAAACGAGGGGACAACAGGGGGAAAAACAGGCCACCCCTAATTATCCTCAAAATCTCAGTCATTCCATCAGTAATTAGCAAGTTGGGGATATAAGAGGCAACTTCCTTCGGGGCTGGAGGGAGGAGAAGGCCAAGCAGTCCCATATCTGTGTTCTGGCTGGATTATTAGCTGCTCTGGCCAGAATCAGCCTCGGCCCCCTGGGCAGCTCCAGCGTCTCAGGAGCCCCGCCATTCTTCTGGGTGTGGGGACCATGGGGCTGTCCCTATCCCCATTCTGGAGCCTCTTTCTGTGTATGTGACCAAAGGCCAACTGGAGATGATGGCAAGGGTTTGGCAATGGTGACTTGTGGCTTTGGGTGTTTCCCGTGGACCCAGCCAGCTGCGTGCCCCTGGACCGCAGGGAACTGTCATTCAGTGTGGTGACATTTGGGAAACGGCAAGGAGCTCGGCTGCCCAGACAGACCAAATGGGGCAGGACATGTATCTTCCCGGCTCTTCCCAAGGGCCTAGGGTCACTGTGCCAGCAATGCATTCTGGGAGCCGAGAGATACGTCTCTCAGCTCATCCATCTGGCCACAGGCAGTCACGTTTCCTGCCAATGACCAGACAGGGTTCAGAGCCGGAGTAAGCAGCACCATGTCCAGGCACGACACTGGGAATCTCCCAAGCAACTTACAAGGTAAAACCACCCAGTCTCTGTCCCAGGTAGAGAAACGAGACCTTGGGGAAAGGAAATGATGTCACAGAGAAGGATGGCCAACAGAATGTGAACCGCACCTATCCAAACACATGCTCCATCTTCCCAGGGTCCCAGGGCCCTAGGGAGAGAATGGTAGCTTTATTGTTGGCCCCTCACAGTGACTGCTTTGGTAAAGATTGTCCTACAAAGAATCAGCCTAGCGAGGTATGGTGGTGCGTCCCTGTAATCCCAATATCGAGAGGCTGAGGCAGGAAGATCACCCCAACTATAAAGCCAGCCTGAGCTACATAGTGGGTTCGAGACTAGCCTAAACTACATAGCAAGACCCTGTCTCAAGACATAAAAAAAGAATCACTCTGAAGTACCTAGTGGTATATTCCATGGGCCAGAGGCCCATCACGGCTGTGTGAGGGTGGCTGTCAGGAAGTCTGGGACTCCCACAGGGAAAATGACCTGTGCCAAAGCTATCTAGAGGTGGACGGTCAACATGGTGGCTTCAGGAAAGTCAGACATGCCATATGGTGGCTCAGGGTTGCCACACAAATGTCCAAAAAGCAAAGTGGGCTCTCCATGGCTTTTTGTGACCAGGTCTCAGAAGTCACATAGTGACACTTCTGCCTTCCTCTCTTGGTCAGAGCAAACACCCTGCTTGGTGGCACAGAAGGAAGACATGGGCCCTGCCTCTCGAGGGAGGAACGCCTAGGAATTTGCAGATTTTTGTTTTTGTGCCAGATTTACATATTTTTGTTTTTCACACTGACTTACATGCTAAAAAAACAAAGAAGAAGAGAGAAAGAAAGACAAAGTTTGAGATAGGGTCTTGCTAAGTTGCTAAATTGCCCAGGCTGGCTTGAGCCTGCAATCCTCCTGCCTCGGCTTCCCAGAGTGCTGGGATTACGCCCGACCTGCCTGGAGATATGCTTGCAGCCAACACTCCCACCCAGCCCAGGCCCAGGGAGTCTCAGAAAGCAGCCTTTGGTCACCGAGCTGGCAGAGAGCAGCTGGAATTCAGATTCAGGCCCAAGTAACTCTGTCCCACAGCCAAGGATTTGAGCCCAGGGAGGCAGAAAGTTCCTCCACAGTGGGACACTGCAGTCGGGTGACTGTCTACGCCAGGAGGGCCTGAGTTTGGAGAAGATTCTTAGCAGAGAAGATGAGCCAGGCCGAGAGCCCATCGGCTCTTCTGACTCCTGAGCAGTTGGGGCATGGCGGCCCCTTCCGCCTCCTCCAGCCCCCTCCCTACAGCTGTCTGCTGGCTATAGAAACAGGGCTCGGAGGCCCAGGCCCACGCAGCAGGAAAGCCAAGGCCACTTCATCCTGCTGCTGCTACAACAGCCTCTCCTCCCTGGGGAGAACAAGAGGCCTCAGAGGGCCCAGGTCCACCCTCTGCACCAGCTCAGGGGGCTGCTAGGGGCTCAAAATGGAAAAGAACAGAATGTAAAAAGAGCCCAAGGAGAGTCCAGTGAGGTGCTACCCGCCTAGAATCCCCCCACTCTAGAAGGCTGAAGCAGGAGGATCACAAGTTCAAGCCTAGCCTGGGCAACTTACGGAGATCCTGTCTCAAACAATAAAGCTCGGAATCCGAGTGTGATTCCCAGTATGCAAAATAATAAATAAAAATAGTTCAAGGGGGCATGTAGAGAGGAAGAGAGGCATACAGTGCCCTCGGTGGCTGGAAGGGCTTCAGCCCAGGGCTCCTTTTCTTCCCCACCAAGAGCCAGATGAGCCTGCATCCCTGGAAACTGAAGAAACGGAAGCACAGAGTGGGGACAGGCTTGTTTAAGGTGCTCTTCAACGCTTCCAGCCGGGACACGGCCCGAGGCCACCTCACATTGCTCTGGGTCTGGCCGGCAGCAGAGACACAGCAAACTATAATTATTCGGAGCCACATCCTGCAGCCTTGACAGAGCCCGTAACCAAGCAGCCTGGCATGCAGGCTGGCTCTGGGGGGCTCAAAGAGGTGAGTGAGTGACCCCAGAAATGAGCCAGTGGCTTGGACCACTTGCCCAGCCTGGGATTGTTCCCCTCAGCATGGCCTCAGGCCCACAGGAGCGGGACAGTGGAAGCAGATGTGGTTCCTACAAGGGACCGCATCAACGGCACCCAGCCAGTGAGCTGAGCTGCAGGAGCCCGCAGCACAGTCACAGCCTCCCCTAAGGGACTCTGGGGCCTTCGGAAGCCTCAAGTTTGGTCACAACTGCACACACGTGGTCTCCAAGTTCTCATCTCCCTGCCTGTGATGTGGAGCTGGTCACATTGTCATGCAGGTTTGCTAGGAGATCAGAAAACTGTCTGGATCTCAGTGAGTGATTATCAATGGTGGCAGCAAATGCTGTGTGTTCATGAGCAGAGGATACCCCTGTCCCTAATAAGGTCCCTCTGATTCCAAGGATGCATGGCTCGACCCTCTTGGCCCACCATACACACGGGCAGCTCCAGATGGTGGCTTCCCAGGGAACATGCACCATGTCCAACTCATCTTGGTGCCCGGGGATGCAACCGGCATCCTTGGGTGACATTAGTGTGATCTTCATGGCCTGTGCCTATGGGAGGCTGCTTCAGTCGTCACTGGCTCAATTGTGTGGCCAAGTCCTGTGCTTCGACATCACTGCAAGGCAAAGGGAAACTATTCAGAGCCCAGGTGGACTTAGGACTTATCTCTGCAAGGCACAAAAATGATGCCTTTTAAAAATCAGTGGGAAGCCTGGGCGTGGAGGTGCACGCCTGTGATCCCAGCACTTAGGCTGAGGCAGGAGGATTGCCACAAGTTTGAGGTCAGCCTGGCCTACATAGTGAGACCCTGTCTCTAAAAAAAAAAGTCAAAAAAGTCAGCGGGAAGCGAGGCACCATAGTGGCACATATCTGTAATCCCAGCAATCTGGGAGGCTGAAGCAGGAGGATCACAAATTGGAGCCCAGTTTGAATCAAATTAATGAGGCCTCATCTCAAAGTAAGAAATAAAGGCTGGTGTGGTGGTGCACACCTGTAATCCCAGCTCTCAGAAGGCTGAGGTAAGAGCACCACAGTGAGTTTGAGGCCAGCCTGGTCAACGGAGTAAGATGATGTCTCAAAAAAACCTCAAAAGAGGGGCATGGGATTGGATGCCGACACACAGAGAGAAGACAGTGTCAAGAGAAGCCAGCAACAGCCAAGGGTCACCCATGGCTGACAGATGCTGGGAGAGGAGCATGGAACGGCCTCCCACCCCACAGGATGCCAGGTGCCCTCCTTCCAAAGGGTGGGTGTGGGAAGCCACGGGGAGTGACGGCCAGAGGAGGGACCTGCTGGCCACACTCCGGCCAGGTGGCCAAGGTCACAGCAGCAGCAGGAACTCACTGTTTGCTTGTTCATCCTGTTCATCTTAATCCTACGCTCACTGTGTGAAGAGAACGACTATCCACCTCCAGAGCCTTCATTTCCTGAGCCCAGAGCCCCACTCATTGAGAAAGATATAGGAGAAATAGCAAGGTAGGGGTGCTCCCAGAATCCCTGCCCAGGCTCCAGGGATCCCCAAAGCTCCAGAGGAGGATGTGGATGACGGAAGTGCTGCTTCTGGAGTACCTAGATCCTGAACTCTAAGTTGTGGTGACGTCGTTGGTGAGTGTGCACATGTCAAACTCATCAAATTGTGCACTTTAAATATGTGCAGCTTATTGTGTGTTCATATATCTCAATAAAGCTGTTGGGTTTTTTTGAACAGTAAGTCAGGCTTGGTGAAGTACGTCTATAATCCTGGGACACCGGGAGGCTGAGGCAGGATGGTCCCAAGTTCAAGCCAGCCTGGACAATGTAGTGAGACCATGTCTGACAAATTAAAAAATAAAAAGGGCCAGAAGTATAGCTCAGTGATGGAGCACTTGCCTAAAATGTGCAAGACCCTGGGTTTCATCTCCAGCACCGAAAATAAATAAGAAATAATAAGGAAAAGCAGCCCCCGGGGTGGGCCTCACAGGTCGAGCGGGGGTCTCCACTGGCCAGGTAGTACAGTCTCCCCAGGCCTTTGGTTCTTCTCGCTCCTGGTTCTTGCTGGCTTCTCCAGGAGGGGACTGAGCATCCTGGTGCGATGGAAGCAGCACCGTGTGGCTGGGTGAGGTAGGCCCAGCGCAGATGGTGGCTCCGGCAGGGCGGGCCCAGCCTTGCTGGGGGGGGGGGAGGCTTCGCACCAGCTGCAGGAGTAGACTTTCGAGATGAGAGGCGGACACCAAGGACAGCAATGGGGAAAAACAGAAAACGTCATGGATCTATGAGTCTCCTGTCCCAGAACTGCTTGTCCCAAACCACCTGGCTCTCAGTGTTTGCACTGTGGGTTTCCATTTCACGCTCTTCCTTTCCTGCTCTGCCCTTTGGACCAGGAACGTTGACCCTCCACCACTGTATGCTGGGAGCCTCTAACTTGGCTTTTAATTTTTTACAGCCTACAGCTAAGACTGCCTTGGGTCTCAGGGAAGACTTTAGACTCGGACTTTTGAACACTGCTGGAACTGTGGAGGCCCTGGGGAATGGATGAGTGTACTCTTGGTTGTACAAGAGATGACTACACCTCATTAGGCAACATTACAGCCATGTTATTGGCTCTATCTGGAGATGAAGGATGGCTTATGATGTTTCGCTGTCACTAGTTAATGGAGGAGGGTCTGGGGTGCTTAATCTTGATTGGCAAGTTGGATAGTTTGAGAGAAGCCTAGGCGATCATTAAAGCACACTTCTGAGTGTGCCTGGGTGTGTCACAGTAGGTCCACCCTTGGGGACCGTATCTGTCCCTGCCCCCTTCTGTGACTCTTCTCCTGTGCTCTGCCTCCCGATGCCACCAGGTGGCCATTTTCCAGCACCACGCCCTTCCGCCATGATGCTCCTGCTTTGGACTGAAGCCTCTGAAACCAGAAGCCCAAGTAAGCTTCTTCTGCTGTTCTTGTCGTCATTGTCTTGAGGACTGAACCCAGGGCCTTCACCCTGAGCTACATCCCCAGCTGATGTTTAAATTTTTAAACTTTGGGACAGAGTCTCACTATATCACTAAATCTCCCAGGCTGGGCTTGAACTTGTGGTTCTCCTGCCTCAGTCTCCAGAGTGCTGGGCCTGAGTGCCCAGCTGCACTTCTCCTCCTTTAGATTATTGGGGTCAGGTCTTTTGTCCCCACTGACTAACCCACCTGCTAAGCTCCTAATTATTTAAGCCAACGCTCAGGCGGGTTCTGCTACTCACAGCCAAGCGCAATCACTAGAAACCTTTTGGAAGAAGGGATGTGTGACTGTGGCCTCCAAGGACGAGCAGGAGTTTCGAGGACACTAGGAGTAGTCACAGGAGCTTGTGGACATGGCCCCTGGGATCCTCGGCAGAGCTGGGGCAGGAAGCAGGAAGGGCTCCTGTCCCCTCCTGAGGAAGCCAAGTCACTCGCTAGGCTGGGGTCAAGCCCTGCCCAGAGCTCCAGCCACTTCTTCCTGTCCCCCGAGTCACCTCAGTGTGGCAGCACAGCCCAGGCCACCACCCTGGCTGAGCCCCGGCCTCACAGTGAGTACCTTTCCTCAGCCTTGTTTACAGTTGTTGAACTATTTTCATCAAATTAATTAAATACATGCTAAATCCTCTTCAGTTTGTTGTGCAACAAATTGAAGATGCTAAGATTGCAAAATGCACACAAAACCTGCTTATTCTGATAGAAACCCATAGGCGGCCCTGGTTCCCCTCCTGCCGTGGCTTTGATCCCTTGAGATCTGAGGTTCCCTGGAGCCATCTCAGCTCCCCACTGGGATGACTCAAAGTGCAGTGGTGCCCAGGTCACCAGAGAGCATGGGGCACAAACACCAGGAGCACAGACACGGAACACTTCCCCAGAGGAGTGACACTGGTCACAGAACAAATGTCCATTGCATCACCCCTGTGCAGCCCTGAGGCTGCTACTGCTCCAAGGGACAGAGGAGAAAGTAGAGGAATAGCGGGTGACAGCAGAGTCCACACAGCCGAGGACAGTCCGCAGGTAACCACTGTGCCCACAGGACCTTCTTCCAGCGCTGGCCTCTTGTCCTAGGCAGAGTTTGGCAGAAGCAACCACAACAGGCCAAGCCACCCCCCGAGAGCCCTCTGGGCTCCAAATGCACCTCTACTCATAGCCCCTTGAGCCCCCACCTGCCTCCCTCAGTTCCTGTGGTGGACAAAGCATTCCTGCTGGCCTCCCCGAACAGGGCCTGGCACCAGCAAGCATCCCCTTCCCTCCTCATGGACTGTCTGGAAGAAAGAGGCCCTGGGGTTCCTGCCAGAGAAATGGAGGCGCCCAGAGTCCGAGGCCTGAGCCCCTCACTCAGGCACACAGGTGTGCACAAGCAAAGTGAATGCACAGTGTGACCGTGGGCTCATTGGCAAGGCCCTGGCTGTGCTTTGCTTCTTTGGTTTCAGGCATGAAGAGACGGAAGTCTTGGGAAGGAAGGAAGGGATTTGTCCAGAGCCCACAGAACTCGGTTCACAATCAGGCCAGGCTCCCCCGCTCCAGGCACCAGGTCCCTGCTGCCACTTAGAGCTCAGGCATCACGTGGTCTGACAGAGCACACTCCACACTGCCAGGGCCTCGCCTCACCCAGCCCAGCCCTTGGACCACCTGGCAGAGCCACAGCCTGCAATCCATCCAAAACCTCAGAGTAACTGTGGGTTTACAGACATCCTGCAAACTGCAAATCCTGAAAAGTAGGGCAGAACCAGGCAGAGAGGCCCACGCCTGTGACTCCAGCACGCTGGGAGGCTGAGGCAGGAAGATCACAAGTCTGAACCCAGGCTGGGAAACTTGGTGATGTAGTGAGACCCTGTCTTAAAATAAAAAGTAAAAATAAGGCTGAGGATGTGTCTCAGTGTGGAGGCCTGTGTATAATCCTCAGTGCAACAAAAGAAAAACAATGAGGGCTGGGGATTTAGCTCAGTGGCATAAGTGCCTGCCTTGCAAGCAGGCAGTTGTGAGTTCGATCCCCGGTACCGATAAAAAGGAAAAAGACAAAAAAAAAAAAAAAAAAAAAGAGAGAAAAAGAAAAACAATGGAGGGTGACTTGTTGGTGACACTGACAGTGGAGACGAGGATGGAACGAAGTGGGTCAGCTCCAGGATGGCGACTCCTGCTGCGGTAGGGTCCCACTGGGTCACTGCTGTGTGACCACTGCAGAGCACACACCCTTGGTGACCTCTCAGAGCTACTTCAGCCAGCTGCAGGGTTCCTATCCCCAAGGCGTGATCTCAGACCCACCACCTTTCAGCAACAAGCTGACCATGTGGCTAGCTGCCTTCTCTCCGGTCCTCAGCATACAGTATGCCCTCAGCTTCACCTTCTGTCCCATGCTGAGCCGCACTGGGACACAGGGAGGATGGGACCCAGGGCCCGCTGCCTGGTCACTCGTGGGCAGAGGGAGATGAGGAGTAAAAAGGCCACTGTCATTCGGTGTGGCAACACTAGAAACACTAAAGTCCAAGGGACCTAGCAGAGCTGGGAAGGAATCCTTGGCGTTGATGGGGCGGATGGACAGGGTGGAGCCAAGCTTGTGTGAACAGAGCTGACATTGAAGCTGAGGTTTTGAGGTATGAGTAGAGATTTTCCAGATAGAGATGGAAGGATGGGGTGGAGTAGTGGAATCT